ATTGAGCTATTATGTACTACGTACTAGAGGCGACACTGCATTCAGCTACTCTGTTCCACTCAACTGCGGTGCATACACCGCACTTTAATCGCTAAAACGTTGTGTTGATTTAAAAAAAATCTCTTGATAAAAATATGCCATCGTGTGTACTTAGATATTGGCCAAATAATTCTAGAAATGTCAGTAAAAACCAAGGAATTACTTTTCATCGCTTATATAAGATACTTAATCTATAACAAAGTATTATACATCTCGTGTCATGGAATATAGATTACAAAATTAATGTTCAGATGCGACATTTCGGTGGGTACTTAAGTATAGGACGAATATATTATTATACACATTTTTTTTATTATTAATGTTTAAATCTGCTTATTAGTCTTTTATTTTATTTTTAGGTTTCCACATCAAAGTCAAAGTGGAATAAATTCGTCCATTTTTAACTTTCGCGTGCCCAGCATTTATGAACGACTCTTATTCTAATTTAAATAAATATATTTGTAATTTTAATTTTATGTTAATAAGTTTTGTTATCATACATTTAGTACGTTTTTTATATACGGTTTTTACGGCCAAGACATAGATACCTTTTAAAATATTCAGATAAAAATATTTTTAAAATGTAATTGTGATATGATATTATGTAATATTATATTAAATAAGCAAATATAATATACAACATAAATGACAAAATTTAAATATTGTTCTCGATATAATTTACCTATTTAACAATACAATCTACTATTACCTACGGGTCATTCTACCTATGTTTATTCTATAATAGAAAAACAACCGCGCGGACACAGAGTAGCGCACATTTTTTGTTTGAGGTGGCTGTTCTAGTACGTAAGTACATATTACTTCAATGTACCCTAATTAGGATTTAAGAAAGCGATCGAATTTTATGATTATACTGGATTAAATTGAGAACGATCCCCCAAAAATTAACGTTTCAAAACGATTTACAAAAAGGCAGCAACAAATTTATTGTCGTTTTACATTAAAACATATTACGAGCTACCTTATGAACTAATTTTTAAAACAATAATTCATGAATCAAAAAGCCTATAATAACATAAAAATTATTATAATTAAAATTAATATATTATTAATGATATTAAATATAAGTATATCGTCTGCTAAAGAAGCTTCAATATTTAAATATAAATATAAATAAACAGTTCACAAATATCCGTCAATAAATTGATCAATAACCTCATGACAGTTGAGAGCTAACGTCAAAACGACATCAATTCGCCATTAGTGTTGCAGTTTTTGGTATAATAAAATATTAATACCACTAAAACAAAGGAAAATCGGCAATTTGGATCACTAAAAGTGGTATAATATATTATTTTAATTTATTTCCCTACTTGTACAAAACCAGGCCTGCGCTTCATACAATTTCGGACCGCCTCGTTTGTGCTGTATACGTACGCTATCAACTAATTTGTTGTCCATATAAAATTAATTTAGAAATTTTCGATTTATTTTTTAAACTATCTAAATTAAGATATGGTAACCAGCAGTTGCAACCATCGCAAGGAAATTGCTAAAAAAAGGTAGGTTTCCTCAAGAAACGCCATTAAATACAGGCCTAGCCAACTGCATCCGTCGACTTCTTTTATATCTTACCAAGTTGTCACTTCACCTAGTAAGAGACCGCCCTACATTTCACTTTTCGTTACGAGATTGCCACTCGAGAATCTTTCTTTCCCATTGGGTATCGGTTGCTCAAATGTGGGCTTTGTCAGTCACTCAGTTGTCGCGCCGATTATTACCTTCTTCATAGCTCGATTGAGCTACTGAGCGACGTAAGCTTCTTGTAAATAATAATTAATTCCCATTGTTTAGATATAATATGGAAAAATAAATCATCATCATCATCATCATCATTGCAGCCCTATCGAAGTTCACTGCTAAATATATAGTCCTCCCTCAAGGAATACCACAAAGCACGGTCCTGAGCCACCTGCATCTATCGACTTGCTGACCGACTATGAGCCCATACGACCAGCAGTGAAGGACTACGACTCAGATCCATAAGTCATCACTGGCAACACGCACTGGTTGTACAATCTCTATTTCAAATTTTGAGGTATACCTGATGAGAAGATGTGTCATAATCTTTATAACGCTGTCAAGCCAAATTGAGTCCAAGTCCGTCCCCAGGTACAGGATCGATAGCAAAATCTCAATTGCTGCTTAAGCGATACGTTTTACGACATAAATTTCCATTTTGCTATGCATTTTAATTAAGCATACTTTTAAATTGTATATGTTTATTCAGTTGAGCAATCACCAGCGAGTTATTTAAAATATTGAAAACTAAAAATGTGTTCAGCAAATGCATGCTGGATATTACGAGCATCCGTTGTTGGAACCACCGTCATTACACCAAATGCGTTTGAAATAAGTTGTGCGCTATATTGCTTAAGTAGCTTGTGCACGAGGAAAGAGATATGTTAATGGTAGGTTAAGAGATTAAATCTCTGTATTTTTTATGCTTTATCGTATATTAATTGCAATAAAAATATTGAATTATTTAGACGAACTCCATGATATTCTTTGTTTAGTAGTGGACTTTTAAGGAGCTGTAATAGATGGATAGATGAATTTAATAGATCTTTGTTTATTTTATTTCCAAATAGCCAATATGTTAACATACTACATACTTAGTAAAAATGATAACTTCAAGTGCAGTAATTCAAATCTCAGTAAAATTATAAAGTTGATTTATGTTCCTACTTCAACGAAATAATATGGTACGTATTACGTTATGGTTTGTATGAAGTAAAAATGCGTCAACATTGTTTATAAAACTTTTTTATTTTGAAACTCTTGCAATTTTTAGTCTAGTTTCTGCCAAATAAATACTTCTGCAAATGTTCCATCACACTCGTAATTTATAGTTTTACCGCAATAACTCTTCAATAATTGCCTCGATGTCTCTGACACTTCATAAATGTTTTTTGCCTGAAACACTATCGCGAAAATCGGATACGTGCCACTTTAAAAACCTTTTCATTCAAATAAATTGTACAATTTAAAAAATTGTAGTTTAGTGAATTTTGTAAAATCCTAGAAAATATGGCGAAAAAAGTTTAATTTTACAGAACACAGAGGAAAATGTTTTATTTTCATTCGTTTAAATGTCGTTAAAGTGTTTACATTATATAACAATTTTAATGAAAGTCTTTTTAATCAGATTAAAATTAAAAAATCTAAGTTATTATTAAATGAAGGTAGCATAAATACAGAAAACCAGTGTAAAATGGCATATAATAAAATAAATACCATCAAATTAATACAGTAAATAGAATAAGCATTATACTAAGTGATAGGGCTGGATGGTAAATTTTATTAAATATTTTCTCCTGTATTGTGGAGGCAGCTGACATACATTACATATTGCAAAAGAACAAACTTCTGGATCCGTAGCAAGTACTTCTTCTAGACCATAAAATACTTGTTACGTGTAGTAATCGAGCTCGTGGCTCTCAACGCCGCAACTCAATGTTAAGCCATAGTGCCAATGGTCGTTGAACTTGTTGACATGAGCTTGTCGTGCAAAACTTTCCTGACTGCTAGTTGTCATAAAATTCCTTGGAAATTTTGAATTAAATATTTCGCTTCGGTTATTGTAATAAGTATTGTTTAGTTTCACTACTGAAATAGCGGTAAGTATACACCATACTTTCTATAGAAAGAAATTTTACGTATATATACGTAAAATTTTTAGGATTATTATAGCGCCACTGGGATTCCAAATAAAGGAAACATCTATGAAATACAAAGATTTATTTTCCTTTAACTGCTTGTATGTTAATTTTTTTACGAGCCACGCTACAGTGTGCTTTGGCCGCAACACAAATGCGTCGACTCGAAAAGTTTGCTCTCCGAATATATTTTCCAAAGTACCCGCGCAGAAGAGCAACATAATGATGCAATATTCCGATGGTGACTGACGAAAATAAGACATTTTTATTTAGCTTCTTATTCGGAAGTCCCTATGGGTCTGTAATGTTGAACGGTTGGTAAATGAAAGGAAGACGTGTTTCTCTACTCAAGACTGTAATTATACTGTCACTTAAACCTAAGAGTAAGTATATTTATTAACATATACTAGTAGGGTGGAGGCACATACACTACACCTCCCCCGATACTTAAAAAAAAAAGGAAAGTTCTCTATTTACTTTTTTTTTACATTTTAGTTTTCATGAATCTTATAACATAATAATAATTTTAATATTAAATAATTTTTAATATTTATTTTTAATCTTTTAATATTGAAGATTAAAATAAAATACATTGTTACATAGGCTTTAAATGTATATAATTTCTAATTGGAATAAAATAACGTAGTTAAACAAAATATAAAACTAACTTCATTTAAAAAATTATAATCTCATGATCATGATCAGATTATACCATGGTTATACATAATCATATTATTAAGTCAATCCGTGATACGCATGCGATTTTATTTCGTTAACATTTTTATTTCGTACGACATTAAGCCTGTCGTATTTTTGATATTAATCAATGTCACAACTGCACGTTAACATGAACATACCACCTATCATACCATATACTTATTAATATTTTTTTTTTACATTTATTTTCACTCGAGATTTATTACATTAACTATATGTTCTAGTTAGAAGTTCCGGTTCCGGTCATTGAACTGATTGGACGTGCGTCAACGTTCTCCGCGAATATATACTCGAGTTGTGTGCAAAATCAAGTGTAATCAACCGTATTTTACCTAAGATTGCTGAACAAAACAATAACGGCCAAAATCCAGAAGTAAAAACAGTGGAAACCAACATAAGTGAAAGATTGTACAACAAACATTCTTGAAACATAACCTAAAATTGCAAAATCATTGAAGGGAAGTGAACAACACACCATAGACAACTTTCAAGAAGTGACATTAAAAAGTGTTGCCTACCAGAATTAAATGTTACTTAACGGAACCTAGTGTTGCCAAACAGAATTTAGGGCTGCCAACTAAAGTACAGTGCTGCCATAACAGTAAAATTTCCCTAAAAAAAAAATGGAGGAAAAGTATATGGATAAGCTAATATCAATACTAGATAAGAAACTTAATAATCAGGCTCTTCTAATAACAACTTCAGTTACGAAAAATGTAATGGAGGCGCTTGATGAAAAAGATGAAACTTATTATGGAAGAAAATAGTAGCCTCAAAACAAAAATATCTGAATTAGAAATGGAAGTAAAGTTTTTGAAAGATGAAAAAAGGAAAAATAATTTAGTATTTTTTGGAATAGAAGAAATAGGAAAAACCGAATGTGAGCTTGTGGATTACATCAAGGACGTCATAATAGACATGGAAATACACTTCGATAGTAATGAAATCAGTAAAATATACAGAATTGGGAAACAAGTCGACAACAAAAACCGCCCGGTCGTAGTCACTATTACTACGCTATGGAAAAAGCACCTGATATTGCGAAACAAGTCCAAACTTCCACAAGGAATATACATTAAGGAAGATTATTCTAAAGAAATGCTAGAAAAACGCAAGCAGCTACAGTTACAGGTTGAAGAAGAAAAGAAAAAAGGAAATGTAGCATTCATAAGATACAATAAATTAGTAGTAAAGAAAAACAAAGATAACTACCCAGAAAAGAGAAAAAGAGAAGAGTCAGGTTCACCAAACAACTCAAATCAAAAGAAAGCTACCACTACCGTTTTCAAGACACAAATCAACTCAGCGACCAAAACTGTAGGAAAAGACATTATAAGACCTAACATACTCAGTTATGTGGAAAGAGGAAGTTCAGCTTTGATATCAGAAATACCAAAAAACCTGTAAATGACATCGACACCCGGAACCGAGACAACACAACATCAATAAAACAAACTTTTTCTAAAGGCACCCCAATCCGGCCAGTCACCGTGGGGGAAGAAGACTATTACCCTCCAACTAATTTCCAATTACACATTCCTCCTAAAAAACATCGCCAAATGGCAGATAAAATACACATTGCGACATACAATACATTGTCCTTAAGAACTCATGAGAGTCTAACGGAACTAATACTAGCTCTAGAAAATGTAAAGTGGTCAATACTGGGTTTGAGTGAAGTACGACGACTAGGGGGAGAGTATAGAAGACCACGGGCATTTTATATTTTATTATAAAGGAGAAACACCTGGCTTATATGGAACAGGATTCTTAATAAAAAATGAATTAAAACCATTTATTGACGAGTTCATTGGCATCTCAGAGCGTATTGTTATACTTAATATAAAACTACCTCCGAAAAATGAAAAGTGGTCGATTGTGCAAGTCTACTCTCCAACTGAACAATCAAGTAGAACAGAAATCGACACGTTCTATTCTATGTTACAGGACGCAATAATCAAACACTCGCACAACAATTTAGTAGTGATGGGAGATTTTAATGCAAGAATAGGGGCAAGAGGAGACGGAGAACAAGTGATATTGGGTCCGTATTGTTCAGGCAAAAGAACAAGAAATGGGGAGAAACTTGTCCAACTGGCATATGGAAACAACTTAAAAGTACTAAACACTCTATACAGAAAACGTGAGAACAACAGATGGACATGGATATCTCCAGATGGTCATCACAAAAACGAGATAGATCACATACTAACAAACAAAAGTAAAGACTTTCGGGACTGTAGAGTTTTAAACAATATTAATTTCAACAGCAACCACAGGATGCTAAGAGCTAAGTTACAAATAAACACACTCAATAAAGATAGACCCTTTAAAGTAAAACAAACCAACAGCTTAACACTAGAAAGTACCGATTCACTAAAAAGGAAAGATAGAACAATTCATAGAAAAAACAAAAGGACTTAGACATACAGAGTAAATACAATAAATTCGAAGAACTCCTCTATACTACTAAAAAAGGCAAAATGGAAAGTAGAAACAATAAGACAAAATGGATAACAAACAAAACTAAAGAACTGATAAGAAGTAGAGCAGACCTTATATCTAACCCTGAAAAGACAAAAACTATAAGAAAAGACATAGCTAATTTAAGTAATAAAATAAAAACACACATGAGAAAAGACCGTCAGAGGTATAGATTAGAACAACTGGAAAAATGCATACAAAGAACCGGAGGCACCAAGAAAACAGCTAAACTACTATTGGAAAAACGAGATTGGATACCAAATTTAATAAACAAAAATCATAAATGCGAGAAGCGACGCCCTGAAATCATATCAATAGCCACTCAATTTTTTGAAGAATTGTATTCAAGGAAAAACACTGCACAGACAACAATCCTAACAGGAGGAAGTGAAGTACCAGATATAATACACGATGAAGTAGAAAAAGCTGTGAGAACTCAAAAAACAGATAAAGCCCCAGGATTAGATGGCATAAGTAACGAGTTCCTCATCCTAAATAGAAACCACCTGATACCAATTCTCAAACATCTCTTCAATGAAGTCTTACAAAGTGAGATAATACCTTACCAATGGACAACGTCAACAATAGTACTTATACACAAAAAAGGAGATAAAAATAACATTAATAATTATAGACCTATAAGTCTATTGTCGAATATATATAAAATCTTCGCAAAAGTTATACTCTATAGAATAACTAGCACGTTGGATGAAAATCAACCAAGAGAGCAGGCGGGTTTCAGGAGCGGATACTCAACTTTAGACCACATTCATGTCATCAAGCAACTATTCGAAAAAGCCAATGAATACAACATAACCTTTTACTGCTGCTTTGTGGATTACAGTAAAGCTTTCGATACAATAGAGCATGAAAAAATTTGGCAGACACTCAAAAACCAAGGTATTGAAAATAAATACATCAGAATACAAAAAAATATCTACGATAACAGCAAGGCTAAGATAAAACTAGAGAAGGAAGGTAAAGATATTATAATAGGAAGAGGCGTACGTCAGGGCGATCCGCTATCGCCGAAACTCTTCACAGCCGTTTTGGAAGAAGTCTTTCGTCAATTAGACTGGGAGAAATGTGGACTGTCCATTAACGGCGAAAACCTGTCACATTTGAGATTTGCCGATGATTTGATAATCCTCTCGTCATCGAGTGACGGACTGCAGGCGATGTTGAATGACCTGGTCAGAGAAAGTGGCAATGTGGGATTGGTCATGAACACATTAAAGACCAAGGCTATGACCAATGGCAAGGAAGAACCTATTCTGATCAATAATAACCTGATTGAATATGTTAATGAATACATCTATTTAGGCCAGATAATCTCTCCTATAAATCTAACCTCAAAAGAAATTGACAGACGCATTGGAAATGCCTGGAAACAATTTTGGAGCCTAAAAGAAATAATGAAAAATAACGACACTAACATAATCATCAAACGGAAACTCTTTGATACCAGCATGCTACCTATACTCACTTATGGCTGCCAAACCTGGGCACTCACTAAAGCACACATTAAAAAGTTAGAAACATGCCAAAACTCCATGGAAAGGAGTATGATGGGAAAAAAGACTATCCGATAGAATAAGAATCGAAACCATAAAGAAACACACGAAAACAAAAGATGTCACAATAATAATAAAAAAAGTTAAAATGGAAATGGTCAGGTCATATAATTAGAGGAAAAGAGAAATGGTCGAAATCAATAATGAATTGGTTTACAGGTCATATGAAAAGGAAAAAAGGTAGACCATGTAGAAGATGGGAGGATGATATTAAAGCCATAGCAGGAGGCATATGGACGAGAACTGCTAAGGATAGAAAAGAATGGGAAAGGTTGGAGGAGGCCTTTGCCAATAAGTGGCATACAGACAGGGTTGTCGATGTACAATAGTTAAGCGTTGAGAGTGTAAATATATATAATATATAATCCAGTGTTAGATATAGATTAATGCAGATAGATACTGTAAATGAAAATGTCTGAAATAAAGGCTATTATTATTATTTAGGGGTATCTATATAGTTTTCTCATCTGGTTGGGTGCTATAAATATATAATTATAAATGAAAATGAAAAGACAAATATACATAAATATCAATAACATAAAATAAATATAAAAGTACATAAATAAATAAAAGCCCAACCAGATGGAGGCCCTCGGCAGGGGAGACCAAACGGCCGAGGGTTAGGGGGGGAAAGGGAAAGAAACCGGCGGACGATGCGGGCGGTATCGAGGAGCAACGCCTTCTGCATTTGAACCTGGAGCGGTCCGCCACGTAGTCCCAGCCGCCTCAGATGACCCGAGAGGCTGACTGGGATTAGCCCGTTTGCAGAGACGACTACAGGAATAATTTCGGTCGGCAGACCACCCCACATGTCGGTTACCTCGTGAGCCAGGTCCAGATATTTTGTTTGCTTGTCTGTTTCGGCTTTCACGAGGTTCTCGTCATACGGAATGGTAATGTCGACCAAAAATATCCTTGACTGTGCCCGGTCCATCAGCACAATATCAGGCTTATTCGCAAGAATAGTCCTGTCTGTGATGATGGCCCGGTCCCAATAGAGCCTGGCGCGATCATTTTCGAGCACGGCTTCCGGCAAGTACTTGTAATACGGCAATTTCCGATCCACGAGACCGTATTTCAGAGCGAGCTCCTGGTGTAGAATTCTGGCTACTAGGTTGTGCCTGTGCAAGTATTCAGAGTTAGAAAGCGCCGAACAACCGGAGATAACATGCCTAAGTGACTCACCGGGATGGCGACAAGCTCGACAGATGTCGACGGTGCCATCCTTTAGGATGTATCTCCGATAGTTGTTGGTCTTAATAACCTGATCCTGTATTGCACAGACAAAACCCTCGGTTTCCACGAAGAGATCACCAAAGCGTAGCCAGTGGAGGGAGGCTACTGTGTCTACGAAAGGCTCATGTAGAGCCTTGTAGAACCTCCCGTGGAGCTCCTTCTCCTTCCATACGGTCTCCCGGTCGGAAATGCTCTGCACTGCCGGGTCTTGCCATTGCTCGTTGGCTAAGGATAGAGGGGTAAGTCCTTTATCACAAGAAATGACGTCCTTATAGAATGGATCATCCGATCTCGCCAGGAAGTAATCACGGAGGCTGCACACTTCGCGATTATGCATGGTGAGCGCGCTCAAAAAGCCACGACCACCATGCTTCCGCGGCAAGTACAGCCTCATTACCGACGATCTCGGATGATGCATCCTATGGGACGTCATTGTAGTGCGGACTTTTCTATCCAGGGCGTTAAGTTCAGTCTGAGTCCACCTGAGTATGCCAAAGGTATACATGAGGACAGGCATGACCCAGCCGTTATATGCGTGTGCCTTATTCACACCGGACAAAAGGCTGTTAAGCACTTTGGTCAAGCGTGCATAAAACACGTCGCAAACTGACTGTTTCATACCAGTCTCATCGATACCGATGTTTTGTGACATACCCAGGTATCGGTATGTTTCAGCCTCGGAAAGGGTCCTTAAGTTGACGGGCATAGATAAGTCTACGCCCTCAGAGTTAGCAACCCTTCCCCTTTCAACATGGAGGACCGCACACTTATCCGTCCCCAGCTCCATTCCAATGGAATTGCTAAATTCACAAGTGATGTTTAGCAATTCCATAAGATGGGAGCGACTGGAGGCGAATAACTTGAGGTCATCCATATAGAAAAGGTGGGTCACTTTTGTCCCTCCTTTCCGTAGCTGAAATCCCCTCCCGGAGCCCTCCAGTAAGGTACTGAGAGGGTTCAGAGAGAGGCAGAACCAGATTGGACTCAGACAATCGCCCTGGAAGATACCCCTTCTTATCCTTATGTGGTTCTCCGCAGCCATCATCCGCTTGCCTAGATGACAAAGGATCGTACTCCACTGCCACATAAACTGCTCGAGGAAGTCTCTAACTGTACAGTCTATCTTGTACAGCTCGAGGACTCTCTTTAGCCATGTATGGGGCACCGAGTCGAATGCCTTTCTGTAGTCTATCCAGGCGGCGGAGAAGTTCCGACGGTTGCGTTTCACCACTTTGCCAATGACCGCGTCAATGAGGAGTGGTTCCTTGGTTCCACGACCACCGCCCCGACATCCATTTTGAGCGCGCGACATCAATTGATTTGAGTCCAGGTGACAAGTGATTCTCGCGCTCAAAATGGATGTTAGTGTCTTGTATATGGTCGGTAGACACGTGATGGGGCGGTATTTGCTCGGGTCTGTGGTACCCTGGTCTTTAGGAACTAAATGAGTGATCCCAGTAGTGAAGAGGCTTGGGAGCGACTTCTGGTTGAGAGCCTCTTGAAACTGTCGGGCGAGCACAGAGTGACACACCATGAACCCCTTCAGCCAGTAGTGATGCAGCCCGTCAAGCCCCGGACTTTTCCAGTTCGGGGCCCTACGAACCGCCTCAGCTACGTCATCCGGCGTTATGATGACGGGGTCCATGGGCGTAATACCCGCACACTGACTCGCCACAACTTCCGTCCAAGGGCCCTCGCTGTGGTTTACGGGCTCTGACCACAGGCCGCGCCAGAATGCTACAGTGTCGGCCTGATTCGGTGCTGGACCCGTTCCACTTACCATTGGTCGCTCCAATGATTCATAGAGCCTCTTCTGATCACTCTGGAAGAGACGATTCTGGTTGAACCGTGTCGACCTCTCGGTATATCGCCGAATCCGCTTTCCCCAAGCAGCGATTCTCTGCTTCAGATCATCTATGCGCTCCGTCAGTTTTTGCGTTATATCCGGCTGGGACAAACTGACATTTGTCCCAGCAAACGCCATCCTGACGGTGCGCACAATTCTTGGCCTGTTGTTGCCTGATCTGAAGCATATCAGTCTGCCGATGAGACTTTCTAGCCTTTGCGATACGTTCCTCAATTCTTCTTCTCCATGCTGGGATAGCGCTACTATGGCCAGTAGCGCGTCCAGCCGTGGAAACCTTGGCGCCTATGATACGGCAGACTGCCAGCGCGGCGCCAAAAAGAATTGAGTCCGTCTCGCAAAGGTCCCGGCTGGCTTCCAAATAGGTAACCAGCATTGGGTTCAGAGCCCTCACGACAGCCCGATTCCGCTTGCTTAGGGCTATGCGGGGGAAGTTGCGGTCGATTTTCGAGAGGCGTACTGCGCGTTTCCACAATCGCCTCTTCCAATATACTCCTCATATGCTCTAATTCCAGTTCCTGGGCGACTGTTCCATCATCGTTTGAATCAACCACAACTGGGGTATTCACGGCGGCATCCACGTTTGCGGGTTGCTCTACCATTTGTGGCGCCGCATCCTCAGCCGTAGCATTCTCATCCGACGAGGGAACAGCCTCACGTCGTAGCCGTTCGAGTTCGGCGACATCAAATATATTTGAGCGCAAGATATACCGAACTCGGTCTGCCAGGTTTTGCTCTGTGACGATTAAAGATGGCTCCAGCTCAGCAAAAAAGACGATGCATCCTAGCCCGATACGCCAAACATCCAGTTTCTTCCCCTTTTGCCCTAAAGTACGCCCGCAGTGCGTTTGCATTCATTTCTTGTGACCAACGCATGCGACGTGCTCCACCAGCGGCGGGTGCCGCTTGCTGAGTCCGAGAAGACCCAGCCGACACCAAGCCTTCTGGTGGGGATGATGGATGCGGAGGGCTGGTAGATGACCGTGCAGCTCCTCGCGCTCGGCTGGCGGCCCGCATGCTGCCGCGTCCAGCGCCAGCTCCAGACGCGCCCCGGCGACCCCCAGGCAGCGGCCCTTTGCGCACTATCTTTTTATCCATCATCCATTATTTGGGCGTCCATTAACGGGAGACGCCCAGGCCCGGCACCGTTTCGTGTGTAGCCATAAGCACAAACGGGCCTCTGCACCCTAAATTCTGCCGCGGCACGGCGCTCACACCTCTCGCAAGGCGCTGACTGACTGCGTTGACGTAGCAGTTTTGTCACTTAACTGTTACGTCAGCGGGCGATGGGGTCGTCAATTCCCTACGCCTTTTTATATTATTATTATTATTATTATTATCTAGTTAGAAGTTATGATTTAAAAGTTCAAACAATATAAAACTGAAAATAAACTATTACATTTCATATTAAGCAGTACCTGCTCTACCTTTATATATATTTATTCACATTTGTATTCATAATTGTATATACTTTATATTTAATTTATTTATACCTTTATATTTGTTCAACTATTGCTTTCATGATCCACACAAATAGGTTAGACATTAATATTCTACTATATTTTCAGAAATTAATGACTTATAAAAGTTAAAGCATGTGATTTGCAGGTTTAATGAATATAACACCGATAATATTACATTTCATTTAAATATGAAAAGACCAAAAACATAATGTAATGCAACGCAAATATCATCGCTATCAGCAATAACGGGAATCAAAATACAACTTGCAATCCCAGTCGCGTAAGCGGTTTGTGACACCTACGTTTTAAATTTCTAAGTAGGTAGGTACGTATAAGGCTACGTTTGCAATTACATCGGACTATGATCACAAGGTGTGGTGATTCATACCTAACATTAAGTAACTTCCATAATATGTTATAATATGAATGCAAGTAAAATATACCTTAAAACTTGGAACAGATATTTAAAAATAGTTGCATTGTTAATAATAAAATATTACTTTTACTTCTAAGAAATACGTTTATCTTAATTGGGACAGAAATTTATATAAAAAGAGAATACACTGTTAGGTACACAGCTAAAGTTTTTTTTTTTTACAAAATATTTATTTACATTGGAAAAGACAATTTTATTTCAAGCAGGTGACACAATTTTAGGTTTTCGTTGCCTTTTTTATAGAAAAAAAAAAAAAAACGATTACATTATACAATTTACAATAATAGTGTATCGATAACCTTTGGACTTGATTATAATAAGCTTTATATAAATGTAGTTCAAAATTGTACACATTTTACATAAGAAAACGTGAGACAGAAAAAAAAATATATTTAAAGTAGAATCATTGTAAATACGAATCAATGTGCCTAAATATGAAAAAATCTCGTAAATTTATATAAATTTACGCGAAAGTGTACTTATCATATTCGGTTGATATATTTTTATTTGTTTACGTGTAGTTGTGCGAATCGAACCCTATAGCTGTTATATGTGCAACTTGCTAGTAGCATTTTGGGTAGCGTTAATAGTCCTAATATAGAAATGCAAAATAACCATCTATCCAACCCCATGGATTTGGTCGGGGATCCCCTTATTACCTTGTACTTTTGTAGATTGTTAGGCCTTTTTATTATCATTTCTTTTCAAAAATCTTGTACGTACTTTCTCTTTTTTTATATTTTGACTTTTAGCTAGCTTTATTTCTCTCTATTCACGCATATATGTATTTATTTATTAAATATCGTGAACCGGAGTTTCAATTCACTTCAATTATATTTCATTTCATGATATTTATCATGCGGGTACTTTATACACATACATATGGGCCCCCCATTTATTTGGGTATTATATTACATTTTCGTAACATTCATTTCATTTTGTTGGTACATAACTTTTTATCGTAATTATATCAAGGTAAAAGTGTACCTTGGGTTGTTCGCACAACCTTGAGGTCTACGTTTAAGTCATTAAAAGGACTCCAACAATTGTCACAGAGGAAAACTAAGTTTGCACCATGATCCAACGAAGGATGTGACCTCAATGTACCATTATTAAGGGTAACAAATTTAAGACTTCTCTGGTCCCTAACAGTACTAATATGAGTAAACTCAGTTACATCACTTGTGCTGAAGGCGTTGTTCCCTAGTACCCGTTACTCCGATTTCATCGTTCAATCACGGCAACGTACCCTGCTCGAGGACTATACGCTATACCAGTGTTGAACGTTCCCATATCTCTCCATTACTTATTGGTCAATGTCATATTTTTATTTATTTTTATTATTGCCATAAATATTTATTCCGTCTTTATTTCTTCATTACCTTGTTCTTTATTTATATACTTTCGTGCCCCACTTCTATATACTAACATGCATCATTCTCACACATTTCAAGTCGCACAGTTTAAGTATCATCAATATTTGGGTGATCAGTCCAATATTGACAAAACTTAGTAACTAACTCATTCGTATTTACACGTTCGAACATTCTTCCGTTCCTCATACCAATTACATGCTTTCTAATTTTTGTACAAATGAGATAACATTCCTATCAATAAATTTTCTTTGTCGGTGTTTAACTTTTTTTTTGAACCATTATTATTAAAACCTCTCTTAACTATTTTATTCCTGTTTACACTGTTATTTATTTATTATTTTCATCTCTGTAACAATACATTCTCTACTATTATCATTTACTCATTTATTTTCATATACTTATTATTTTTATCGCTATTACAATGTTGTTATGATTTATCCTACACCTGTTAATGTGTTGCATGTTGCTGTGTTCAGTTTAAATTTATCATCTATGTTACCATGTTTTTTTTTTATAGGATACGCTCATTGCATAACATTTTATAATATCATATTTTTAGAAACATCAGTATCATTCGTAAGAAATGGTTAGCAGACCTTTTATATTCACTGTGTAAAGATTGACTCTTGTTGTACGAGTATTTACCTACCTAACTAGTTTCTTGTCTTTCAAAAGAAATAAAAGTGTTATTTTAGCCAGAAAATATGAAAAATATAATTGATAATAAACGTTAAAATAATCGCATCGTATGATCGTGCCTAATGTCAACTTAACGTGTACAATTTGTTACTACATAAGTAGTAGTACTCATATAAATGAGTGCGAGTAAAAAAAAATGTACCTTAAACTAATATTTTTAATTTCTTATTTATTCAGAAGTCCACATGGTTACATCGTTAAAAGCTATATCGCTTTTATACAGATCGAAAAATATTACTGAAAGTATGTTATTTATTATGTCGTGTATACAGAATAATTGAAAATCACATTATTAGAGTTCTCACCTTTACACAATGATACAATAATTTATTCAAACATTTAAAAGGAAGTTTTTTATATTTTACATAAGTTATTATATAAATTTAAGATTTAATGCCTTAAAAAAAAAATTAAAACTTATAATGATAGTGAAATGTTTCTAACCTTTTAAAATTTAGATTCGAGAAAAAAAAATCAACGAAATGTATCACAGTGTTATTTTAAATCAAGTGCGTAAAATTGGAATCTATTATTTTATTATTTCATTAATTGTTTGGCAGGACACAGTAAAAAAATAATACAAAACTATAACTTCATAAATGAGAATATAAAGTCTGGTCTGGCGCCTTAATAGAAGTGCCACATAAGTGCTTAAAATTCAACTTAATTTTTAATACTGTATTATAATTGTTTTTGTTTTTTTTCTTTTTTTTGTAGGTAATAAAATATTTGATAATAAAGTATATTGTGAATAATCTGATAACTAATTTCAACTTAATTATATGTAAAATACAGAATATTTAATATCTAAGTTTAAAAACATAATAGCAAAAAAAAAAACAATCTTAAATTGTTAAATAAAGTTTGAAATAGAATTAAAATCACATAGGTGCGAAGTTACCTCATAATTTGTTCTTTTCGGCTCAATTGTTCTATCTTCTTATCGGTTAAGGCTTGCAGGAAGTTTCTTCTATCTTAAATTTGTGGTCTCACCATCTAATTCGTTTAATCTTCATATAATATTTGAAGCTGTCATAATATTTGTTTCTTAAGTTGATCGTTCCCGTTTTTTTCCGTAACATTTTTCTTCTTTTTCTAATAGGTTTTATTAGCATATCTCCTTAAAGAAATAATAACCTTGTCGCCTCTTCTTATGTCTCCGTTTCGGCTTACTTGTCACATCCGGTAGTGTCAATTCAATAGTTGAAAATTGTTCCTTAAGTTTTATATTTATTTTTCCATGTTTCTTTAACTATTTGTGCAGGCCGCGGCGGTGCGCGTGCCTTGTCGCCGCGCACCGCCTGGCAGGGTCGCCATGTAATGTTTAACGGTTGGTAAATGAAAGGAAGACGTGTTTCTCTACTCAAGACTTTAATTATACTGTCACTTAAACCTAAGAGTAAGTATATTTATTAACATATGCTAGTAGGGTGGAGGCACATACACTACAGGTCAAAACGTCCACTATTATATTTGGTTGCGCCAAAACGCACATTTAATTGACTATATTAGGTGGTAGTTTTCCTTCCTCTACACTTTAGCTTCCTTCCTGCACGAGCATATCCAATGGAAGGCTAAATATGGTGGCGTCATTTTGCGTGACCAATGAGATGCGCTGGCCGAAAACTGTAAGGTTGAAAACACGCCACCGGCCATCCAGAGTTGTCGATATGCCGCGGCCGCGCCGTACAGTTGAAGTTCAACCCTAGATGTGATTGCGCCTGTGGCAATCGGGCCACAGAACATTTTGTAGTGACCGCTAACACAAGCGGATTTGATGCGATGTGGTTTCCGGATTTGAACTCAGGAAATATTAGCGTCACCACCATTTTGTAGTCATTCGACCCCCATTTAAAATTAGCAACTCTATCACTGCATCA